GCAGAGTCAGCGGCTTGGCTTTTTTGGGCCCGGGATACTTGCTGCTATGTGGCACGTTAGGACACCTATCCAGGAAATCACTCCAATTAATGGCAGGACCGGCTGAGAGCAGTCCCGAGGCAAGCACTGCTCCTGCTAGCCAACCTACACTGCCTGGGCCACGTCTGCAAGACGCTGCTGTCGTGACAGGAACCGTACAGATGTCACACGAGTGGCGGCATCTCATGGGAACAGAGACCCATGAGCTAAACGTGACTCAAGACTTCTTCCCACAATCAGAGAAGACCAAGGTGCCTCTGGACAAGCTCTCAGGACTTTCACCATGGAGGTCACTTGAGAAGGGAGCTGCCTGGAGCTACCGAAAACACCACCACTCAATTAACACTCAAAGCAGTCTGGGAAAGCTGGAGCAGCTAGACATTCAACGAGGACAGTCAGGGCAGGTTCGAGCACATCTGGGACTACTCTGCAAAGCCACTGACCCAGTTGCGCCATCAAATAGCAAAGCCCAACCTCAGAGTCTTGGGGCCTTCAGGTTCGTACCAGTGTAACTTCATTGATCTCAACAGAGTCGCTCCCGGTTTCACAGCTGTGAGAAGAGAAACCAGGCTGGTCCCCATCCCACCTCCCTCATACTCCGATGTCTTCCTGGCACCTGCGCAGACTCCGGCGTGGGGTGGCAGCCGGGCATGGCATGTCCCAAACAAATTTGCAGCATAGAGGGAATAAGGAGGGAGTGTAGCGTGAGCAGTGAGCAGGTAGGAACACAAGAGCCAGGGCCTGCAACAAGCACAGCCAGCAGCCAAGCCGAGGAGAGCCCCAGAGGTCCTCCTCGGGCACACGGCTCCCACTCATGCCGGCTGGCAGCAAGGCCGGAGCAGTGAACGTGAGACTCCAATAACCAAACTGTCCTCTCTGTCCCAGGGATCCCTCGCAGGCTCCAGATGGGCAGCGTTGTGCGAACCCGCCCTGACATGCCGTTAGCATGTTGTTAGATTGGCAGCTTGTCTCTAAGCAAACAGACGGTAGGTACTGTCTCTAACCTGTATCTATGTTCCTCTGGATGGCTACAATCAAAAAAGTAGGAACGTGAAGATCATAATACTAATCCATTACACTGCAGTCAACTCCTGAGCGTTGCAAGATCATGCATGCCAGGTGCCCATTTCATTACTATTTTTAAAAAAATTTGCAGCATACATACAACATTAAGGCATACGGGACTTTACAGTAAACACAGATGCAGAAACTCTGTTAACAACAATTAAGGCTGCAGCAGAACAGACACAATCCGCCCCAAACCTGAGAAATACGTCAACAAGAAATTCAGAAGGAATGTCTTCGACATTCCTTTCTGCTGTCACATCAGCTACCATTTAACAAACATCGCATTGCAACACACCACGAGGAGTCCCCTTCCTTATTTTTAAAATCAGCTATCAAAAAGCAGCTTGTACCACCAACTGGTTAAACTCACATGCTAGCAAAAGGCCTTCCATCTCTGCTCAGTTGGTGGCATGTTCAATTGTTCATGCAGAACTTTCACCCATCTGCTCAAAACGGACACCCAGGCAAAAAAATAAGCACTTGAAGGATGCCACTAGACTTGTTCCCACTCTACCTGTGTCCATGTGCGGCAGCCTGACTGAAAGAGTTCATGTCACCTTGTGGAGTCATGGAAATGCCGTTCCTGTACATTGTTCCTATCATGGGGTCAGCTCCTCGCTCCAACAGCAAACTGACCAGTTCAAAATTTCCTGCAAGTCAAGAGGTGCATTTTTACTTCTTTTAAAATCCAGTATTTGCTCACCCAAACCACAGATCCTGGACTGAAGAATTTATTACAGTGGGAGGAGAAAGTCCTTACCAGCAGCTGCTGCCAACTGTAAAGGAGTTTCGGAGTAATTTTCCTCTCCGTGCTCCAAGGAACCTTCTACTTTTGCTCCTGCATCCAGCAACAGCTAGAAAGAAAATTCACCGTTTAGAGCAACTGGGGGTATTACAGTCTGCAGAGTTCATGAACAGTGACGAATGAGAGTCTAATGCTTCTTGTTAGCTGCAAACCAGATACGATGGAGACAAGTGACATGCAAATTCTGTCCACTGTTTCACAGAGGCAAATTGATTCCTTTTTTCGCTCATTTTACACTGCCAGACACCAGGAGCACTGGTGTCCAACTTCAGAGCCAAAAAAGTGTAACCCAGTGTTTCTGAATGGGAAATGGGGTAAGGTCAGTGTTAGGAAGTAATGTGCTGAAGATGGAAGTACTAAAAATTAGCCCGACAAGCATCCTTCCTTCATGGTCTTCTAGAACTCCAGCACCATCCTAAAATGGATTGGAATTCAATTGCCTCCATCTTTTATATAAAGACATGGCCAAAAGAAAGGCAATTCTTAAGAACCAGTCACAGTCCAAAAGCTGTGATCTCCATCGGGGACACCTCCATGTAAATAACAACAATGAAAACAAAAGTGGCCAAGGAGAGCAGGATGAAGCCTGTGCTCCAGCACCCTCTTGGCCATTTCTGTCTCAAGGCCTTCACAGTTTTGGCTCTTCATTAAGTCTGCCACAGACAAAGCTGTTTTGAAGAATAAACCTTCTTGACTTTTGAAATGCCAAAGCACAGAACCAGCATATCCCACACGACACCTCGCTGGGGAAAGGTGAGCGAGTGCTTCTCTCCCCCTTAGGAGAAGCACAAGGGCTGTTGTCCACCTCTCCCCCAGCAAGGCAGCGGTTTTGTGTTTGCTAGAATATTATAGTGTCAGAAAGTGTAATGAATGAATAAACAAACATATAAAACAAGTGGTCAGGAAGGAGCACAAGGAGTTGTCAGACTTTCTTTGGTGCAACTTTGCTTTTAAATTGTCCTGTTTAAACCTCATATTGGTTAAGGTTTGAACACCATATTCGCTATATAATAGGTCTATTATATATCAGTACACTCTAGGGGAAGCAGAAGTAACCAATATGAGTATGACAAGAGGATACTGGTTTGAGATGGATGTAATTAGAACTGAAGAGGAGAAACAAAAGAATGAGATGCAGGTAGGGAAATACAATAATACCTGAACTACAGGAATATGTCCATGCAACACAGCAAATGTCAGAGCTGTCCAATGGCGGGTCTCAGGGTGGACGGATGGGTATTTATGAGCAGTACTGACAACCTACAAACAAATTAAAGTTATTTTTTTAAAGAGCTATACGTAATAAAATTCAACCTGCCTGAAAGCCAGGCACGTGAGGGAGTAAGTGAAATAGCAAACCTGGGAAAGCTGCTTTATAAAATGATTGGCTTCATTTTTTTCCTGAAAAAATTTTCTCAATATTAAAACTGTTCATGCTGATTTGACAGCTTGAATACAGTTCATACCAAATCAAGTCTTTTTACCAACTACTGTAGCTCCACCTAAACCACTGGCCACCAGATACTTTTGCACAAGGTCAAAACATCCACAGCTGGTTACAGCAGCACACACTGGGGAAGCAGGGACGGATCAGGACGCTTACAGCTAAGGACCACTCCCACTGACTTCTCCAGACTGTGTATCAACAGCCCCAGGTCTTGGGATGGCTCCAGGCCCAAAGAAATTCTTTCCACATTAATCAGTATGACTTTTGTCACTGCCATCATGAAAGACACATCACAAGCCCTACACTAGAGTGCACAGGAGTGCTTCCAGGCTCCTCCTCTCCCACCGGAGGAAGAAAAGACAGCTGAGAACTGACAGGGCAGAGTGGCACTTCAGAAATGTTTTAAGAAAACTCCTTTTTACTGCCTTCTCCTGTCTGAGTTGAGTTAAAAGAGCAGGGTGGTGACAGTTAAAAGAGATGCAAACTCTATCCTTAGAAAACAAAATGGTATTTTTCACATCGCTCCTTCCATTTTCCACGCCTTAGTGCCTGGTGCCTCTAATGTAGACATTGGGGAAGATGAATAACGCCTCTTTGCTTCAGTTTCCCTGTCTTAAAGATGTGGATATTAATATTGATGAGGTTCAGAGAGATGGCAAAATCTAATGAACGTTTGCAATCCGAGACTGCACACTCAGATGGAGTGTGACACTAAAATTCAAAATCTTATTATTGATCTTCAGAGGAGGACTAAAATCAGAGTAAAAGATGCACCATCTCTCTGTCTCATCAGGCAGCTATGCTTTCGCTACCTTGTCTGAAGTACTTTTATCCATGTAGGGAGCAGGGCCAGTTATTAAATGCTCAGTTGCATTAGCAGCTCGCATTTCCAAGCACTGCATGCAGCGTTTTGCTAGAAGCACACGATTGGGCCACCTCAGTCCCAAGGACAGGGATGAGGGCGAAATCTGAAGAGCCCATGCAGATCCTGCAGCTTGCCAGAGGAGCAGATCTGCACCAGCACCTGGCTGTTATCGCCCAGATTTGACAAAAGGAGAGCTCAAAGTACCAACAGGAGAAGTGTGCTGGTGTGTGAGCAGAGGCGTGTGGCTTCTTGGGGTCTGGGATTGCTCAGAAGGAAGAGGTTTGCACAGCTTGAGCCTTGGAGTTTAGGCTGGGGAGCAAGAGCAGCGGAGGGTGAGGATGGGCAGGGTCACGGTTTAGTGAACGCATCCAGCTCCTCCTCAAGCAGAGATTCCCACCACTGTTTGGGGCGGCCCACGGCAAAGAAAATTAAGTCATTTTAACTCCTTTGCTCCTTTTTCTTTTGGTTAGAGTTTTTTCCAACCGACATGGTGTTTGCAAAAGACCTGTGGTTGACCAGGCTTTTAAGGCCTCAGTTGAGATTTGCTGAACAGCTACAGGTCCCACTGACTCGAGAGTGAATGGCAGCTTCTCAGTACATCTGGAAATTTTTTGCTAAAGATGGGCAATCAAAAAGGGAGGCACCCATCATTTGAAGCTACTTTTGGAAACATATATATAGATAACTGATTTGCGAAGTGAAAGGGGGAAAATGATGCAAGCACCTGACAGAGTATTTATTTTTGTTCATGGTTGATTTGGCTTTTTTTTGGCCATAATTGCCCAATTTGCACAGTTGGTTGTGGTGTGAGCAAATCATCTTATAATTGCACACCATAATTATTCACAGTTCTTGTCCACAAGTGTTTTCATTTGATTTCAGAGCAAACACTCTACAGAAATGAATCAGGGAGGTTCACATTCCTCAATGGAGCTGTTCTCTCAGATGTCAGCAGTTTCAGGAAGACAAAACTGTTTAAATTTGCATTTGGTTCAAGTCTGGAAGATTACTGGAGCAATTGGGAGACTGCTCCTAATGAAAACTTGTCCTAGGAACCATATAATGCCATCTCGCCTCTAAGCCACAGGCAGGGTTAAAGGAGAGCTCAGTCTCCATGCTCATCCAGTCTTTGGTGTGCCTATCGAGAGTGCTAACAAGGGTTCGAGTATTCAGTTACTGCCAGTTCTTGAGGGTGGTGTGCTTGAATTTGGGGAACTGAAATCATCAGCGTAAGCCACCAAACAGTAATCAGATAGTAACGACTATCAGTCTCTTACAGGTGACATCCATTTCTACTTTTAAATTAGATTTTTTAAAAGTGCAAAATGTCTGGCTGAAAGCAGTGACTACAATTTATCAGCTCACTCAAGTCCAAACAGAACAGATGGAACACAGATAAGTGAAGCAGACAGCTTAATTTACTCATGACCTCAACAAATTGAAACTGGAATCATTAACAAATAATTCTTCTGCAGATTTTCAAGCGGCTCTTTAAAAATGTACATACCTGCATTGCACAGAGTCAGACCACAATCTGTTTGGTGGACAGATTGTGTAAGTTTGTGATGTGCATTCATCAAAGAGACGTTTATATTCTGGAAGCTTCAAGCTCCTCATCCAACAGTTTTTAGCCCAAGGCACTTTGTAAAACAAAATAGTGGAACTTACGTCGCACTTGTGTGCTGGGCATTCTTAGCTGGAACATCCCAATGCATAGAAATGCTCCAGCTTTGGGAAGTCATCAGACGGGTATTTCTTTTACCCTCTTCATTTTAACTCAGCTGAGATTCAGGGAGTCCTTACAATATCATTAGAGCTGTGCTCCGTGCTAGCGCTAACACCTGTATTCATTTGCAGTGTGCAAACACAACTAAATCAATATTACCTGGGGGGTAAGTCCGATGACTTGACCCCTTGTGTGCAGTGAATCCCAATGTTAACCTAACGCAGTCTGATTTCACTATTCATTTCAAGCGGTACCATCCAGGATAAGACCAATTTATTTTCTTTTTAATTCTTGGGATTTTCCCTATGCTACAGTTTCGGGGGGTGGTTTAAGATGTAAACAAATAACAGAACAAAGATACAACCAACAAAAAGTCCTCACCTCAGCATTCAGATCTGCTCCAGCATCTAGCAGCATCTGCACCATAGCCTCATCACCCCTGACACAAGCATACATCAGTGGAGTCATGCCCTAGTCATTTTTTGGAGTTAAAAAACAAAGGAATTGACAAATTTAACACAGAACTCTCTTTGATTTTTTTTTTTTAAACAATTATTTAAGTATACATCATCAAGACTAACAGCATGTATTTAAAGAAAGCCATTACCTTTGTTACAGACATGCCCTTCAGACTAGCAAAAGCCAACCATTTTTGTAAAATCTCCATTTTTGTTGTCACTTCGATTGATTGGGTTTTTTTTTCATGTTATCCTCAGCACTTCAGCGTGGTGAATGAAACTAGGCTTGTCAGCCTCACCTCCATTTTCATATACTAAACTGAGCATCTTTGTCTTTGGGGGTCAGCAGAGAAATGTTTTTATCAAAGCAACCATATTTCCACCGGTGTTTTAAAAAGACAATAATTCTATTCGGTTTTCTATGATCACAGTTTCATAAAATCTAACTTTTTAATTATCAAAAGAGCCTTTAAAAACATCCCAGGCTCCTCTTAAGGCAAGTTAAATTTGGGCACAGCTTTTTCCATGCAGATTCCGTAAGGGGCTGGAAATGTAAAGGCTTTGTATAGCACTCCCTAGCAAACAAGGACTTAATTTTAAATGAAATGCCAGACAGCATTCTTGCAAGTTCCTGGCTCTAGGAAAACATGGCCCTGTTTGGAGGAAAAGTAGATTAAGTGACCCTTCACTACAGAACCACCACAATGCAACTTGTATTAATCCGAAATACCTGCTGCGGCTGATCACCATTTCCCTTAAGATAAGTATTACTGTGGCTGTGCTAATGAGTCCAGATGAAACCATGAAAAAATCATTAAATCTACCGTAAATTATAACAGAAAAAGCTGCTTATTAAATACAGTAGGGGGTGATGATCAACAGCCACCAGTTGTTTTGTAGTAAATCTACCGCAGCATGCAGCTACCTCTGATGCATGTTTATAGCCTACCTTGAGGTCCCCTGGTAAATTTGCTGTCAGACGATAGCCCATTTGCTGTTTAACTTGAGTGCTGCCATGAAGTGAAATTATATTCAGAGAAACCGGAGGTGCCCAGCACAGCCAGACACAGAGCCATGACACTGCTCTTCCTAGCAAGAGCCCAGCATCACTATTTTTTGCTGAACTATCCCATTTTTCCTGTTTGCATGCAGGGCTAAAGGAGTGGGTGCTTTGGTATGGAAGGGCTGCCCTTGTAAAGAAAATATAAACTAAGGTTTGTCCCCTGCAAGATACTTAGAGCCTGCTTAAAAGACATTGAGCATTTCACAGGATCACATCCACAGTGTACTTATGGAGATACAGAGTAAGGGAATATGCATTTGGGGGCTTATGCTATTATTAAGAAAAAAATGAGTTCATCCCAGGCAAGGAGAGTTCCTGGGTGACTTGAAGTTGCTTGCAAAAAGAATTTGAGACTACTGCAGCTACAGTCAGTGGCAAAACATTTCTTTTGGCAGTCAATAAACACTACAGGAACAAACAGGACTGTGAGAATTACAAAAAATTGTGTTTGGGCCTTGAAACAGGAGGATGGGAGAGCAGCTTAAAAAATTAAATACATGTTCCTTCAACTATTATTTCAATTTCTGTAAGCGGCGTCATTCAGCAATTCAATAAAGTGCACAAGGGTTCTAATCAGATCTGAAGTAAAGAATTTGAAAGCCCCATGCTGGGGCTGTCCCCTGCCAGATGCAGCACGTGGGCAGTCGTGGTGAAGAACCCTGCAGCAACGCCGAGAGCAAAGGGTCTGCCTGGGGACTACACCGGCTATTTTGGCCCTGCTGAAGCTGATGAGGGACCTACCGCTGACTAAAAGGGGCCCAGAATGTCATGCTGCAATATCAGGGTTTTAAAGAGTTAATGAGGTTTCTAACCTCCCCCTCCCTCGCACTGTTGATCCTGCTGCTTTTGGCTCTGCTGGTCCCCCAGGCTCACTCTGCAGCTCAGCCTTGCGCTGCAGCATCGCTCAGCCCCCTCTCTTTGCACGTGGGAGGAATGGATTTTTAATGAGCCCATCATTAGTGTTCAACACACACACAGGAACAGGGTAACAATGTGTACAATCAACACTACGGGCATTTGGCTTTTGGCAAAGTAAAAAATGGCTCTTTTTCTTTCAGCCTTGTATCACTTAGGGCTCCGTCCTGCAAGATGTGGGATCCTACAAGATGTGGGATGTTTGATCCAGCGAAGCATTTAAGCACAGGCTTAACTTTCACTCAAATAGGATGTAAGCATGTGTTCAGAGTTAAGCATATGATTAGGTACTTTGATGAATCAAGCCAGAGTGTTCCCAGGTTTCAGCCTGGAGGACAGAGGAAATACGTTGTGAAAAGTTTCCAGGTTCAGGCTAACTTAAAATAATAATAATTTTTAAAAGTATAATGTATGAACCTTGGAATGAGCAGTCTGATACTATTTTCTTTTCCGGGAGTACTGCCCTCTTCTAAAGCTTTTCTCAAACGAATCCACAATATTGACTCAGACCGAAGCTACTGAACAGCAACATAACTCAGCTTTCCTCTCAGAAGACCTAAACCCACTAACAGCCCAGCTCCTGTCCCAAGCAACCACCTCAGGGGCGGCAGCCACCTGCCTCCTGCCAAAGAGGATGCCACAGATCTGGGAACATGCACTGACACTTTCATCAGGGGCACCAGAAAATTCAGGGGATTCCATTTCAAAAGCAAACAGTAGTATCCATGGCCATTCGTTTCCTTCTGAGAAGGGGGAACCACCTCAGTGAGCACCACAGTCCAACAGACTGCCGCCAGTAGGTAGCTCAGAGGCAGGCTTACCCCCAGGCACAACCACCAGCCTCATGGAGGTGTAACTCCAGGGAAATTTAGGCTCCTCAACTGGTGGATGTTGGCCACCAACCACCACTAAGTGAGGTAACACTGCAGAGATACTTTCACATCTGGAAGTTCAGTTCAAACTGGGCTGAACTCAATTAAAGACTGCCAGCAATTAATCATTTCCTGCCAGGCGTTTGGTGGTGCACGTGAAATGCATTGCAGATCCCAGGGCAGTGTTCAGTGGAAGGACGTTCACCTCAAAGAGCCCTGCCCCACTCCACCGTTAACAGCACTGAAGCAGCTTTAAGTATTCAGATCAACACTAAGCTCTCTTGGGATCTTCTTCTGGCTTTACTCGACTCAGTTCACTGTTAAGAAGATTTCAAGGGATGCATTCGCCCTCATGCTGAGTTACCTCAGTACCAATGAATCAATGCAACTTGAAAAGACCAAACTTAATGCAGATGTTCACCTAGCAGTGCTTTAACTCAATGCACAGTAATGCAGGGAAAGCATTAAGGTCTCATCTATACTTAGCTGAAAGTTGGGGCTCCGTTTCTGTGATAAGCACACAAAACTCTTACATTTCCCAATTGCTTCTTTACGTTTCTATCTCGTTACCTGTTCACTCATGCTGTTAATCCCATCCGGCCCCAGCAAGGATATGGCTTGTTTAACCAGATCCGTTCGGCCACAGTTGAGCATCCGGAAACCCAGGTCCTGCTTGAACTTGGCTTCAGTGGCAACTGCATCCAGTTTCCGAGATGCACAAAAACAGTCGTCGATTCTGTGGATGTGAGAAATAAACTCCCTCAGAGGACAATCAGCGGACAGACCTCGCTGTCCCTAGGAAAATCATACTTTGCCCTATCTTTGAAGGATGTAGGTCATGCATGCATTCATTCTCCTTTGACCTGCATGTTCAAGGGAAGTGCTGAATGGAAAATGCTAATGCAAGCTAATGGAAACTGCCCTTGGTCTATCTTTCATGGGAAAAGTTATACATTTTATAAAAAATTGGGCAAAAAAGCACAACTTTCACTTCATTTTGTGCAATGCACAACACATTCTCACCGCAATTTTTCTTTCTGCATGGCGAGGTTATCCAGTCTCCTTCATCTCTCAAAAGTTTCAGTGGCTTCAGTAAGCTTTGAACTTACATCAAATGGATGTATAATCATTGACAATACAACAAAGAGAAAATAATGTCACTCCAAACGCCTTCAAGGATCTTACCAGCATAGCCCCAGTAACAGGGAAGCCTTTTTGGAGTAGAAAGTGCAAGTCGGAGAATCCCAGACTGGTGGAGGTTGGAAGGGACCTCTGGAGGTCATCTGGTCTAACCCCCCCTGCTCAAGCAGGGCCCCCTATAGATCAGGGCACCATGCGATCAGGGAGAAGGCAATCTTGCTAGGTAATCATGGCAAAACACCACAAATCCTTGCTGGCTGTGTCTAACAGATGAGATGTCATTCTTTCAAGGTTTTATTCAAAAGACCTCCAAACTATAAACTGCTCAATGATCCATTTCAAAGGGAAGAAGGGCTAGGAGTTATTTAGACAAGATGTGAATCTACAGCTCCAGAGAGAGCCAGGCAATTCAAATCTGATGTTTATCCAACTTGGTTTCATCTTATTAAAAGACAGATTTGCTTTTCTTTCATGCTGAGGAGTCTCTGAGGCAGAGGGTGGAGTCCAAATCCACAGTGCTTTTTGGGTGAACCCAGATAAAGGACTGTTTGGGAAAAAAAATCACTTTCATTTTCCAAAAATGCTAGGTCTGAAAACGAGGGGCTACTTATGAATGAAAAAGAAAATACAGATCAAAAGTGAAAAAGTCAAGCATACATAAAATATTTGTTTTCTATTTCTTATGTAAAAAAATGCAGCAAACCAAAAGAAAAATATAAACAGCGCATCATTATCATTTAAATTTCTTCTTCAAAGTGCTTTATCAGAGCTTTATAAAATATATAACACTGCTCAATATTTAAAAGCAATATGCAACGAATATGCTGCTTATATAGAAGCAATGGTATGCGCTCTTCCTCTTTCAACAGAGGAAGGAAAGTGAGATGGAAAATACAAAGTATTTTGATCAAAGCTTCCGCAGGACTTAGTACTGAAACTGTCATCTGAGCTCAAGCTTGCTCTTCGCCGTGCTGGGCCACAACCAGTTGGGAAGACAACAGAAATTTTGTTGATGTTCATTCTGCGTGCTCAGTTTGGGTTTTGACTGCTAAAAAAGTTGATGTCCAAAGAATGCAAACAAGGTACGCTTGGAGTATCGTTACTCAGGGGAAGAAGGATGACGCTTCATCACAAGAGTATGCTGCAAGATTAATGCACAACATTCGCTCACAATAAATACACTGTAAAAGCAGTAACAGATTCTGCACCACTAATATGCCTACAACAGAGATGAAGAAAGCAACGCATAGCAAGGCTGGGTTTTCTGCAGTAGTTTCTGAGCGAGTTTAAGGAAAAAGCAAAACCAGCACAGATATGCAGGGCTGAGCTCAATGACACCGAGATCCACGGGAGCAATTGCGGCTTAACACGTTCACACCGTATGGCACATTTCTGACACAAGAGCTACAGCAACATTTGGTACTTGTTACCCCCCATAGCATGAGATGCTAGAGATCATCTGTGCCCTCGTTTCACGTATGGCAAAGTTAAAACTTGGTGGGGTGGTGGGGGTTTTGGTGCATGGAGAGAGAGTCTGGACCTCCCAGCCGCAGCTGGCCATTTCCAGATGACTCTGGGCTGAAAATGAGGTGGTTCCCTGGCAAAGCGCAGCTATGGAAAGATCTAGACAGCCTCTGAGGACTGCAGAGGTGTCTGCCACTATGAATCACTGCCTGTGTTAAGTCACTGCTTCATCATTTGTACTGAGGTATAGAACATACACTCCGAATAAAATGGGTCAAACTCAGTGCTGGCAGAGAGAGGCAAAGCTTCACTGACGTCAGCCCAGCTCAGTGCATGCAAAATGATAGTTGATGATTTTCTCTTTAAAAAAAGCCAGATTTTGACCTAGGTTGCACACCCACACAAGGGAGGAAGGAGGAAAAAGGACCTATCTCACCTCTCCTGTACAGGCTGCCCAGACCTCTACTCTGGCCTGGGTTCAGAAATTACTTAGTTCTCCATAAGAAACTCCTCCATGAGTTGGCTCTGGTCCCCTAAAAGCACGCCAATTCACCTGCTCACCGTAGCCAAGAAAGGGGACTCATTAATTACTGCTGATAATGGGTATCAGCAAATCAGTACTCCTCAATCCGCTGGGGGGATAAGGGTCTTGGTCCAAGAGTCCCAGGAAGCTACAGCTGTTCAAACACTGCAACAGTAACACAGATGCAGAGGGGTGCCCGGGCTGCACAGCTGCGAGGACACCACCACTGATGATCTAGATGTGATCTAGACCAAGTACCACAAAGCAAGAAACCGCAACTCAGTACCGCTGCCAGGGGCCCACTGCCTTTTTGTACCTCAAAAAGGACCCATTGTAAGTATAGCCCCGAATTATGGGATGTTGCAAAGGAAACTATATGGCGAAATTTGACACAGATCATTGCTGGTGCCGCTGTTGTCATATGTTGACTAAGAAAATGGATAGTGATCAAACTGGGGAGTTTAGTAAGAGCATGAAGCAAGGGAAAGGAATAGAGGATGCTTCAGAAGAGAAAGTGTAGCAACATCTCGAAAAGCCAGAGAGATGAATGAGTTAAGGAAAAGGAGATTTAACATGTACAGATAAAAAGCAGAGAAGAGACAGATCAAAAATGATCAGGAACTACAAGTACAGAATAAGAGAACACAGCATCACTTTTAACACTGGAGAAAGCCAACTGGGAAGACGGTACAGAAGACAGACCGAGCAGTTGCATTTCAAAATGAGAACTGAAAAATAAAAAACCCCGAATCAAAAAAAAAACCCAACCCAAATCCATAAAAAATCAACCCTAAGCCACCACAGAACTGCATTTGCTCCCAAGTCCTCTTTCATACCATTAACTGCATAATGTTGATTCCAACAGGAGCACAGGGTCTCTGCTCCGTATTACACAGTATAAGGGGATGCTGCTCCATCACAGACATCATCCAGAATCACTAATATTACAGGATGCAAGATAAAAAAGGAGGAAGGTAGCAGGACCCAGGCTTGATTCACTCAAGATTTCTTAACTTTGGACTGCAACAAATTCACTGACAAGCTATGAAGAGGTGGGAAAGGGATGGGAGGAAGCTTGAAAAACAAGGTTGATGAGGAACGGTTAAGTCATCTAAATATACAGGGTCACTTGTTAGAGCTGTGAAACCGTGCCTGCAAAGCAAAGGAAGCCAGCATAAGCGCAAACAGAGCTGGAAACCTCCCCAGCTGCACAGTCAGTTCATGGCCCTTTTGCCGAAAAGTCTTTGTGATCCTTCCAAGTGCACAGGAGGCTGACACCAGCCAGACAGTGGGACGTCCCCTCCAAGGCCACCTTGGTTTGTTGCCGGATTCTGCTGGCTGCCAGCGCTCACTTGGGTCATCCTTTCCCCAAGACCTCACCCTTGCAGAAAAGGCACTTTTTCATCAAAGGGGCAGGGAAGGCTGACGGGAGGAGCAGAAGACCACAGCGCGCCAACGCTCTTTTCCCCCTCCTTTTCCTGGGGACAGTCTCAGGACGGCAGGACATCACCACCTCGGGATGCTGGCTGGGTCAGGTGAACTTTGAGATCCCCCCGGGTGATACAGTGACAAAGGTAGGACTGGCCAGCATCCTTTGAGGGTGATATCCTCTCTCAAAAGACTGAGCCCATTTTGGATTCCTCTGCTTAGCAACCTGTGGGGCCGGGCAGGCTCCTTGGCACCACCACCGCTGTACACACGCTCCCATGCCCAGAACAGAGAAGCAATATGCTTGAATTAATAACATACACTGATCACACTCCTCGTGTTCAAGAGCAAATCCACCCCTCTAACTCAGGGGTTCAATCACACAGCCTGTAAACTACCTAACCGGTGCCTCCCTACCTTGAGTCAAGCAAACAATTGCCTTTATAAGTAAAAGGAAAATTAGAAACGGGTGAAAACGTCTTGATTTTATATTTGTAGCAAAGCTGTGACCACATTTTTTAATTTACAATGCAATACAATTTTCTCCAAGTCCTCTTTTAATTCCTCACAGATATTGCTTCTACAGCAGTTATCTTCAAGATCATTACAGTGTTGCCACTGCACATAATTAACTTTACTGTGGCTGTATATGGGGAATGCCATGGTAACATTAATTATTTGCAAATGGTCACTGTCAAATGCTGCACGGTGACCATGACACTCTATCGTACACTGAAATACTCAAACCTCTGAAAGGAGTCAAAGATAATTTTCTTCATTTATAATGGGTGCTAGCAGTACAGCAAATTATTTTTATCTTTTCCCAAACTCACATTACAAAAACATAATGCAGCACTTCTACAGCAACGGTTTAAATGCAAGGGATTTTTTTTTCATTTTCACTCAGACTGGCTAAGATAGGGTCTGTGCAGATCTTTAATAAGTTACTCATGGATTGAATACATTTGGGAAAATGGATGATTCAAAGGCAAAGTGTTTCCATTGTAACTGGTAGACACAGCAGCTCCCATTACATAGCTTTTTAATTATTTGTTCTTTGGGAGGGGATTATTGCTATAGTCAGTAACGGACAATTAAAAAAAAAAAAAAAAAAAAAAAAGCAATGCTCTATATATGTTACCAAAAACCAAGTAGGAACATCTTAATCATGTTCTAAATGA